GTTAAAAGTAGTAGTCGGGTTCATCTTTGTTTTACCTTAATTATATTCAAGTGGCACCATGAAAGCAGGGACCGAGGGTTATTTAAATAACAATTGCACAAGATACTTGAAATTCATATACAACTGTTGGAGTTGAAAATGCAGTCGTCGATACAAAACTCATCGGCTCTGTTAGAGATTGTTATTGGTTAAAGCAAATGGAACCGAACTGGAATTTTTGAATTTGTTCGACCGGACGGGTGGTTTGTGTTCAGCCTGAAAAAAATCTGTCCAGACGAAAATTTTAATAACTTTAATTTAATTACTACTTTACGCTCTCACTATTCAATCTACTCTCCGGAGTTCAGACGCTTCCACTCTTCCTTCCCCCAGACGTTGCGGCACATACAGTCCGCAGGTGAGTCAGCCTCTTTCGTCTTCTTCCTTCCTTCTTCATCTACATATCCTTCCTTCGTCTCCTCATCAACTCGTCATCTCCATCTTCTTCTTCAACTTGTACATCCTACTCCAGCAAATCAAAGCCTTGACCCAAAAAAAAAAAAAAAAAAAAAATGAAAGGAAACTATTTTTCACAAACTAAAATCAACGTAATCCCGAACAAATGCAGGTACACTGAACCTTTACATTTACGCATTAAGTTCATTAACATTTTTCACATAAATTTGCGCGATCTTCGAACACAAACCAGAAAATAAACCTACAAAAACTTCCAACCGGTATTACTTCATTTCTTTCTAATTTTGATTTACCTACAAACCTCGGAGAATATAAATCTTCTTTTGACGATTTCAAAACACATCTGCTTGCAATATATATATATATATATAAAGTCTCCGATTCGCCTGTTTCTGACCTATTTTGACTTGCGTACATTATTATTGGCCACTATTACTACCTTTTTGTCCCCTCGCTCCACGATCAGGTTCACACCACGCTCCTCTTCGTCTTGCTCGGTTCCCATTATTGAAAATATTTTAATTAACCACCCGTGCCTGGCTAAGGCTGGATGGGCCTGTTCATATCTCTCTCTCTATATATATATATGTATATATATTGGCTAAAATCTTTATTGAGTAGAATTGTTTTTATGCAATAACTAAATTATTATTAAAATGAAAAACTGTAAACCTTAGTTGCCAATTTACTCTTATTTGTTATTAAATTTAAGAATTTTAAAAAATATGTTAAAATTTAATACATCTGTGATAATTATAAGAATAATATTTTTTTTATTTAATTAAAAAATAAAATAAATTTAACATACTACACAAAATCTTAAAAAAAATCTACTGCGTGTGAGTCGGAAAACTGTATATAAATCGACGCGCCCAGCGACGCATACTCGCCAGCTCCTCTTCGCTTTTCCAGTTCCAAAATCCAACTTTTTATTTTGATTTTTATTTTTTTTTAAAGAGAGGCGGCTTTGGAGATTGACACACTGATGAGAAGCGCGTGCGGTCACGTGCCAGTGGCAATGAGTTGGCATCGACAAAATGTTTTGGCAAAGTCTGTGATTCTCTTCGCTACTAACCCGCACAGAGCTGGCAAGTGGCGAAATGGGATGACAATTTTAGGTCTCATCCACTTCTCAATTCTTCCTCACCAAACCCTAAACAAACACAGCATTACTTACATCTATACGTATACTATCTTTCTCTTCATTATAATATTCATAAACATGTATTACGTATCCCGCCTAATAATCCTTTTCTTTTTCTGCTAATCCAACTAATATTAATATTAATAACAATCTCAGCCAGACAATCAATTGTGCTGTTGTAACTCCTAAGAGAAGATAAATTATATCCATACTAACACACGCCTATATATGTGTGTGTGTGTGTATATATATATATATATATATAGTTTTGCTAATTAAGCTAGTTTGTTTTGATTCTTTTGAACAAGAAAATTATTTGTGGGGATAAAGAAGATGATAAGGCACACAACCACTTGCAATCATAAAAAACCAAAAGCCAAATCTTTTTTTTTTTTTTCCCTTTAATCTATTCAATTGCTTGAAAGATAAGAATTAGATGTTGAAAATTACAAAAAGAAGAAAAAAAAAAAAAAAGTCCCAGATGCCTCTCAATCATATTGAACAACCTAGTTAGCTATATATGTTGAGCTTCAATGAAATTCAAATGAAAAGAGAAAAGAAAGCTAAAAAGTAATTGGATTATCTCTTGAAAGTTAATTTCCAGAATTAATAATTTTTGCTAGAAAAAAACTCCCACAATCAATTTAAGCTAGCTACTTTTTCTGGGTTTGCTTTTTCTACTAGCTTTGCTTCTTGAAGAAAGCTCCCTTACCAATTTCTTCTCCTCGGATTGTCCCTCTCCCCTTTTTAGCGTATTAATACAACTACCTTCTATGGCGGCCGGCTTCTCTGATGGTACTGGCTCTTCTGCGTTGTGCTCCTCCACCTGATCGGTCTTAGCTTTCTTTGATTGACTCCCTTCATCACCATCTTCACCTGCTGTTACTTGCATATTCTTTCTAGGTCTTCCTCTTCTTCTGGGAGTCTGAGGCTTCTGCTGATTCTGACTTTCATCTCCGGTTGCTGAAGCTTCTGCTATTGCTACTGATAGTTCCTTTGTTTTCTGTGGCTTCTTCTTACCCATATATATATATATATATATAATCTTCTGTGTATATGGTATCAACAAGTAGGATGCCTATATATTCTGTATAGAATTACAAACAAGGAATCAGCTGAAGTGAGTATCTTCCGAGCCAGAAACACCATCAAGATTAAATCTTTCAATATCCTTTTGCCTGTTCTACAAACCCTTTTGCACCCAGAAAACTCATGTATCCCCAGAAGAAAAGAAAAGGAAAACAAAGAGGAAGTACCAAGTACTTTCTGAATCCTCTCTCTCTCTCTCTCTCTTTCTCTCTGTGTATCTCTAAATTAAGATTTTAAAGAAACTGGAGTTAAAATCTTTGACCAGAGTATCCAAATTCTGGAAACCCCATAATACCCTTCTCTTATGACCATACTCTCTTTTTTCTCTTTATATGTAATCAAGCAGCTAGCTATGAGAGGACCAATACCTAATACACGCATCCTATTGCATAGCAAGCAGAATAAACAAATGCCCTAAATCTCAAAAGCCACTAAAATAATCTTTCCCTCTCTTTTGTCTCTATTATATCACGTACCACCCCTTTTCATCTCTCTCTCTCTCTCTGTATACATCCCTACATCCATACATTCTTCTTTTTTACTTTTATTTTTTTCGTTTTTGGGTGAAGAAAAGACAAGTTATTATGAGATGAAATAGTAAGAGCTTATTAAAGAGTTTTGGATTCGGCCTTAACCATGATTAGGGTTGCGAATATACATGATATATGTAGATATCTTTTTGTAATTTGCAATGGAGCCATAGAGAAGACGGGCATGTGTTCTTATTTTACGTGGGTGAGTTTGTGTACTGTATGACTCAGTGTCTCAGTCTGACCATTTGTTGTCCTTTCGCTGGGTTTCGCGCCTGTGTTCAGTTGTGAATGTGAGGCGTATGAGTTTCCCGTACGACTGTTTGGGGGAAAAAAATTATTTCCAATAAATCGCAACCCAAAAAAAAGTTTGTGAATTGTTTCTTCCATATTTAATTTAGTTTTTTTGGGTATTTATCTAATTTTTTAAGATAAAATTTTAATAAATGATTATAAATAATATATAGTTTATATTTATCTGACAAAATACTCTCCCAACTATAGTTGATTAATGACCTGTCTTGTATGAGGTATCATGTCATGAATGCATGTCAACCATCATATTATAACAAGATATGAACACAAATATATATATATATATATATATATATGTATGTATGCACATATACAGAGCCTTACTCCTACAGGGATCATATTTTTGTAAGAAAGACCAAGATCGATATAGCAAAATCATCCCCATAGATGGATATATAATAATACATATATACTTGGCTTTTTTTCCTTGGAGAACAAATTTCATTTTTATCTTTACTGATTTGACCCGTCAAAGAATTTTCTCCTCCATTTCACCCTCTAATATTTTAGAATGAGGAGAAAGAGGACGAGATTTTATACCATAAGAATTCATTATTTTGACTTTTTTTTCTAACAAGTTCCTTCAACTATAAGAGAAGTTTCCAAATAATAATTTTATTAAAATAAGAAAGAGAAAGATTTTGTTTTGTTTTTGAATGTGTTAAACTTAGTGAGTAATTAATTAATCATTTTAAATATATGTGTAAGAAAAAGAATGATTAGATATTCAAAAAATAGAGAGTAATTCAAGAGATATTCCAAAAATGACATGATTAATTAAAATTATAATTAGTCCTATTAATTTTCACATTAATCATAAAAAAATTAAGTATTACAAACATGCATTTTATTTGGGTTTTTTGTTTTTTGTTTTGTTTTTCCTATTAAGAAATGAATGGGAGTAGTTGTGAGCTTGTTTCTTGGGAATTAATACAATGGAAGGTAGTGAAGGTTTGAGTGAAGAATGTATGTATGCCAAAAAGAGGAAGCTAAAGCCTAATACAAGAAATTAAGGTCAAGCTGACACATAAACACATGCTTTCGGTGACTTCGTGTCGTTTATCTCATTTTGAAACTAAATGCCCCCCAGGTCAAGTCACCCTCTGCATCTTCAACTTGGATAAAACTCCAAAAAGAACTTTGTTGAGCTTAATCACCATTAACAATTCAATTATCCAATATGAACCTTGAGGACAGTAAAGACGTGGGGGAGAATGCTTTCTAAATAGATAAATTACTACGCAGACCAATAAGATACCTAATTTATGGAATCACTTGCGAATTTTGTTGGAAAACTATTTGTAGTTCAGAAAATCAAAGTGGTTTTCAACTACAAACTTTAATGTAACTTTATAAGATGATTCAATGTAGTCAAAATATGAATCACTTCAGGCATACTCTCTAGTATCACCCAATAATTTTTCTGAAAATGTCATATGAAACTCATATGAAAACCTATCCCGTGACATGTTCAACAAATACGTTGTTACAAGTAATGAACCTAAATCAGAGAGGCAAAAAAAGGAAACTTCAATATAAACTATGCATCTCATTCTCGGATCATGGTATCACATTTACCCAGTTTTTATCTGAGGCAAAAGAATTGACCACGGGAAGAGTTAGGGATGACAAGCCTCCACACTTGAACAGAGTTTAGGTGAATTACGAAGACCGGGCAAAAAGAGCTCGCAGTGATGCAGGCATCAGGAGATGATCTCTATGACGTTTGAAGTGAGTCGAACCGGCACCTATTCTATTCTTCTCTGCTAACATCTTGTAAATAGAGCTACTAGACTAACCATCACTGGTTTTGCTTAGATATTTGATCAGAAATGGTAAAAAAAAAAAAAAAAAAAAAAGGACCCTAAAGATCCAGTGAATACTAATGGAGCATATCAAACTATTAATTCAGCAGAGGATTGCACAACATATTAGATACACACAAACAGAACTGCTATAAATTACATCCTGCAAAACAAATTAAATTCTTGCTCACTGCTTCTGGCAGGTGAGGTGCCTCTCGCACACATAAAGCGGCTTAACTATATAGCCTCCAACCTAGAAAAGAGAAAATCAAACGGCCTATACAAAATCAAGCAACAGGCCGCAAACACAAATTATCATTCTATACATACCGAATCACACAACAGTTCCATCATTTAGGTGAAGCCTGTGACTCCAAGAGCAGTCTTACTGAGGTGTTGATAAGAGAAGGCTCAGCCATTGCACCATTCCCATAATCTCCACAGGCCAGTTTCTTTGTAACAGGTGGTATGAGAGAAATCCCAAGCTCATCGATTGACAAAAGGTGTCGCTCTGTGAAAGGATTGTTCCACATGAAGGTGTTCATAGCTGGTGCAACAAAGAGTGGCTTGCTGTTATCCCATGCTCGGACAATGCATGTCAGCAGATTGTCAGACAACCCTCCAGCAATCTACTAGAAAGACATCAAAGGATTTAGAAGATGCTCAAGATCAAGTCCAAGAGCATGAATAAAATGCACAAACTTAGTGAAGAGGCAAAAAGAAAGATAACGGCAAAACAAATCATTTTCCTAACTGTTGGGTTTGTCATTGGCAAATTCTAGTCATGCAAAGCTCATGTATGAAACAAATGAGCTTGAGTACTTTCACTACATGATTCATTTATTGCTTGATAAAGAGTTGCCCAACCATATCAACATAAAATGAGGGAGAAAAATGGGTGCAGAACCTAAACATCCAGTCATAAGCATAACTCAATCATACAACCCCCCAAATGGGGAAGAAAAATGGGTGGACAACTCAAATATTCAGATACAAGTATGACAAGCTTGAATACTGAATTGAGTCTAATCTTTGATTATACCAAGAAGGATAATGCATAAATGAATAGAAGATACTATCTAAAAAAGAAGAGAAAGAGAGTTCTAGATGGTTTGACATGTAAGATAATCAAGTTATATTAATGACCGGTTGAAAACAGCAAATAACCCCTCACATGCAAAATAATCGAAAACCTTTGAGATAACCGATTATATCAAATTGAGTCAAACGGTGTATGTGGTAGCATTTAATAGACTAGGAATATCAGCAAACCTAATTACTATAATTTTCCAAAGATATCATTTTTAGTTTCCACTTAGCATCAGGGATCTTAGTTCAACAAGACTCGTACTAATACTAATTAGAATGAGATAATTTAGCACGTCATTTCTGCCCAAAATGCAATTGGACGATGATCGTGCTGTATAGTTTTGTAGCCTAATGATTGGTTCATGCATTTATGACATGATAACTTGATCGATATGGTAGTCAGAGAAGTGTTAAGGATACCGAAAGTCACCAAGTGTAAGCGTAAATAG